GGAGGTTTCTTCCTGTTAAAAGGGAGTTTTTCCTTCCCACTGTCGCCAAAGTGCTGCTCATAGGGGGTCATATGATTGTTGGGTTTTTCCCTGTATCTATGAAGCGCCTTGAGGCGACTTTTGTTGTGATTTGGCGCTATATAAATAACATTGAATTGAATTGAATTACATAAATAAAGAAAATGAACTAAACAGGAAGCCAGAGAGGTTCAAAATATAAAAACAATAAATACAACATTACACAAAATAGTTCTTGTTGCTTTCTCCGGCTATTGTAAGGCTGCATACATGAACCTGAACTGTGAGTGCGCTCCCTCACAAAGGACCAGAGGACATGTTGGTGGACGTGCGTGTTTCAGAGAGGAGGTGAGACCACTGACTCTTCTGCAGGATGATGCTGCAGCTTAGTAATTAACAGTTGACCTTTCAGACAATTGCATGATCTAACACAGGGGTGGGCAATCTCAGTCCTCGAGGGCCGGTGTCCCTGCAGGTTTTAGATCTCACTTTGGGTCAACACACCTGAATCACATGATTGGTTCATTACCAGGCCTCTGGAGAACTTCAGGACATGTTGAGGAGCTAATTTAGCCATTTAAACCAGCTGTGTTGGATTAAGGACACATCTAAAACCTGCAGGGCCCTCGAGGCCTGGAGTTGCCCCGCCCCTGATCTAACATGAATATCCTCTAAGTATCTTGGCCTTATACTCACATCTGCTACAAGTAGGTTTAGCAGCGTAACTGGAATCACAGTTGAAGAAGCTGCAGACCTTTCTGGTCTGCCTGAACAGCGGCGGCGCAGACAGGAACCTCTCTCTACAGGTGAGAACAGAGACAACACGAGTGAAAGGCTGTTCATTAACAAACAAAAACCCTAAATTTAGACTTCAGAATGACACCATTACTCTGCATGCACAGGATGGAGCTGACAATATATCAGTTACATGATCATAAAGGCTTGAAGAATTCACAGAAATATCCATGTTCTTCTGCTTATCAATTTCAGATTTGTGGGAGTGTATGGATCCAGCAGGGTGAGAGGCTGGGTACAGTCTGTACCAGGGTTAACACAGTCACACTAATCACTGTGTGCCCCGTTCTCATAATGATCGTACCAACCCCCCAGTCCATAAACATTTAACCTGTCGTGCACTGTGCATAACTGTAGCCAACAGTGCAGCAAAAAGCTTCGCTCCAGCACTAGTTAAGCCTCGCCTCATACAAGATGAGACACAAGACAAAAGTCTGAAAGTGGGCTGGACTCTGGATGCAAACAAAAACAGTAGATAGGTTTCAGTTTCCCCGCTCACTCCACAGTCTCACTTCACACTAAATGAAACTGGTGGAGAGGCCACACCCACTGTGTGTGTGTGTGTGTGTGTGTGTTATCAGAAATGAAAGGAAAAAAAACCTCTGTGGGTTGACTATCCATTCAACCAAGAATGAGAACCAGCCCCGTTTAGCCTGCCTGACATGTATTACAGGGACACAGGGTCAGACCCATTTGACAGGTTATCATGTTTAGCTGTGCTTTCTAGGTCAAGGGCCCCCGCTCCTTTTTCCACCCTGCAGTACTGGTATGATGGGGGTGACGGTGTTCCAAACACAGCCCCGAGTCATGTGTTAGTTTGTCCTGCTGGTTTGTAGCAGCAGCAACAATAACCGACACACAGCACACTGATGGAAACGAAGGTACTTAAAATCCCGACGGAGCTGCTTGTTCAGAGCTATTTTAATCTCAAGCTTTCAAAATAACACAGCGATGGTTAGCTAATTGTTTTTGTTTACATTTTAAACTGGCTGTATTGATGTATAAAGAAAAGACAGACGATGCTGTTCGATTTGCAAAATAGTGTGAAACAGGAGGATTACAGTCTGACACTAACAGGCCCTTTGGTTTCTCAGGCTGCCCTCCTCATCACATTGTGACTACATCTTAATCTCTGGTGACATTTTCCCTCCACACATGCACGCACACACCTGAGATAAATAACCGCAGGACACTGAGAATCTCCTCCGATGTTCCTTCACTGACCTGCTGTCGTTCAAGTCTACTGAGCGCCTCAAAATGCCACAAAGCTTCTTACTTGTTTTCGAAGTAAACCGTGGCGCAGTGAGGAGTAGGAATGCATGTCGGATTTTTTACACACAGGAAATGATGCTGAACAACGTCTTTGGGTAAAGCAAGACAGATGTTGACCTCTTATCCTTGGAGAACTCAGAATAACAGAACAAAATGACCACAGTCGCGACTGCGGCAAGTCCTCGGCCAAAGCTGCAGTCCACAATGTTTCCATGTGATCAGATATGTGAATGGCAGAAAACGCCGAACAAGATGGAGCTGAAACAAGTTATTTTAACACAAGCTCGCCACAGAAATGCTCAACAAAAACAAATATTCCTCATCGGAAACCGGCTCATCTAGCCAGAGATCAAAAGGAGAATTTGTCCCGCAGCTTTTTACGATTTCAGGTGAACAAGTGGGTTAAATGTAAATTACCTGAGGTTCTTCTCCACCTCCCTGCTCTCATACTGGCCCCCCTGGTTCAAAAGACTCAAGATGCTCTTCTCAAAAGACTCCGTACACTGATCCTTAGGAAGCTGCGGAGAAAAAGAGGGAATGTGAACAACAGGTGGGATGCACTGAAGCATTGACCTCGACTTCCTTTTTGTGCTAAATAAGCAGCTTTGGGTTCAATGGCGTGGACTGAAGCTGTATTACCCTAATGTATATACGATGGTACATCCCGATCACCTGTGCACAGATTAGCTTCGTACAGGACGACCAATAAACTTTAGTGAAACCTCCCACTGTGAAAATGCTTCTTTTTTAAAAACTGGCCAAACATTTGAAATTGGCATCTGGACCCATACAGCTGTTA